GTTGGTGAAGTAATACAGCTGATCTTTATACCAAGTGTTGCTTGAGCTTTGAACTCAGACCGCTCCTGTCCATGCTCTTTGGGAGACGGTGAAGCTGTGCAGGAAAACCTTCATGCTGTCATTAGATACGAGTGCTGACTTGGTTCCTGCTGTAACAGGATGAGTTTCTGTATGAACACTCAGAGTTATCTTTCTACATTTAGTCTCTAATCGATGAATTTAAAAAAAAATGAATTTCAATGATGTAGCTGATGTAGATGATTTATTTCTATCAATAGATTGAACTAGAACTGCTGTTTTAGTTATTTAGCCTCCTAAATTCGCTCCATGATTCTTCTGGGGTCTAAATGATGATATACTCAAAAAGTGCTTTCCCACAGCAATATTCAGATTTGAAATGCATTCAGTGAAAACAATGAAAATGAAAGGTTGATCATAAAAATTATTTTAAACAAAGTTTTTAAAAGGCCAGAACAGAAGACAGTATTTTTGGAATAAGAGCAACAGATCAAATGCAGATGTTTCCACGATGCTCAAAACACCCGGAGCCAGACGAGACTGGTGCTTAGACAGCGCATAACTCCATTACATAATATAAAGTTCATATTTTTGACTATAATATTATAAATAATGAAACAGCAGCTGTTTTCCTACAGCAGTCCAACAGCTCCTGTGAAGGCTTCAGTTATTCTGCTGTTTGCATCTCTTGCAGCAGTTTCAGTTGATCCTCAACAGTTTTCAGTTCCTGCTCCAACGCAGACACCTGCACACAGAGGAAAACATACAGAGATGGATACAGTGCTGGTGTGAACTCACAAAGTGAATGTTCTCTGCACAACGACACAACAACAACTGATGACACCTTTAGCATTTACATGCGTTTGCTTTCACGGTGCAAAATCTCACAGCATAACCACAGCAGGAAGCCACATATTAGCTTAAGATGACTGTGCATTTTAAAACTGAGCGTGGCCTCGGCTTAGGAGGAGATCCACTGTGGATGTGCGGCTCAGTTGCAGGGGAGGGGTGGAGGAGTGGTGTCAGGGGAGGTGACGTGCACCTGATCTGCATCAGTGAACCAGCCTGTAAGGATGGTGCCTGCACCGAGGGGAGAGGCGTGTCTGTCGGTGTGTGCAGAGCAGATGAAGACCTGCTTGTGCTTTGTGAATGAGGAGAAACCTCTTAGAAATCAAAGGTACCAGAATGTGCACAGCTGGTGTCCTCGTTCTGTCACAGTGGTGCTGAAACGCAGCCGCAGCACGAGGGAGCCACAACCAGCCCAACCAACGCAGACGCTGGCCCAGACGCTGGCCCAGAGGATGGATCATGGCTAAGATCATGGCTAGAGAGCAGAAGGAGCAGTGTTTCA